CACAGACATATACACACATATATAACAATACATTTTTTTTTCATTTGCTGTAATTGTATATATAATAAAATTACAAATATAAAAATATAAACATAACCTTGGGAGAAAATACTTTTAGATTATAAATAAAATGAATGAGCGTTTCTGAACAAAACGTTCAGGTGAGAACAGAAGCAGGCGGTCGTACCTTAGCGGCGAAGGTTTTCTGCAGCTCCTCTTTGTACTGCTGGATTTGAGCTTCATGTTCCTCTCGGAGCTGCTTCAGGGCTTCGGCTAGTTTCCCCTCGAACTCCTTCTGTCTGCCGCTGTCCAGCTCCACCAGCCGGCTCTCGTGACGACTGCGCATCTCACGCACCTCCTGCACACACACAGCAGCAGCAGCGCAGACGCAATCAGAGCCCTGTCTGTGCGAACCAGCATCTAGAACTAGAACACAGCAGAAACCTGTTCACTGAGATGCTTCTGGAAGTCCAGCTGCTCCTGAAACGTCTGGAGCTGGTTCTCAGCGTCCACGCGCCGCAGCATCTCCGAGTTCAGCTGGGTTTTGAGGTTCTGCAGCCCAGACTCCAGCTGCAAGGCAGAGGAAGAGTTTACTTGCTTTACTTCATTGGGTTCAAGGTTTGGAAACGACTGCACATTATAACAACTCAAGCTGGGCAGGACTTATACTCGTTCCTATCAGTCAACTTGTAGTCACACAGTGGGCTGACGTACACAAAATAAATAAAGAAATAAAATAAAAAATTACTAAAACTAACTAAAGTTAAAATGAAAAGACAAAACATTTTTAAAAATATATAAAAACAGAAAAATATATTAAAATATAAAAATAAAGTTAATTTATTTTCACATTTATTACTGTTAAAATAAAACCATAGCAGAAATAAAATAAAAAAATCTTTATCTATCTATCTATCTATGTATACATATATATCTATATGTATGTATCTATCTATTTTTTATCTAGTTGCCAAGGCAACATTTCTCATTTTTAGTGTAATGCACAAATAAAATATAAGAATAAAAGCTTATTCATAAGATGATTAATACAATTCACAAAATATTAATAAAAAGTAGAATAGTCTCACAAATTAGTAAAACAACAATGATCTCCATCACAGTGCAGGATAACTGAAGTCATGTGATCCACGATTACTGACACAGGCCTGAAGCACTGGGGCCCGTTCTTCGTACGTCACTAACTCAGTTAGCTGGATTGAATTGTTGATGATTTGGCCTGATCTTGGATAGTTTGGTTCTTCGAAGCTCATCCCGGAGTTGCTGTCATAGCAACAGCTCGGTAAACTTAAATCTGCCCGGGAGCAGCTTATTTCATGTAAACAGGATTAGATTGCATCTTTTTAAGTGGAACTGATATTTATTAACTTTATTACAAGAGTACCCTACTGATCCAGGGACAGTAATTAACAATAATAATAATAAAAAAATATTATAATGTTGTGTAGTCATCATCTATAACACTATAGACACAGCCAGGTTTACTCGTTGAAAAATGTATTCGTGATGAAATAATTATTTTATAATTGTATTGGAGTCTTACAAATTAACAACTATTTAGACAAACAAAAAAAAACTAAATATAAAATAATAAAGTTTAATATAATATATTGTCAGTAACAAACTAAAACCATAAATTATTTTCATGACTTGAAATAAAACTATAACTGAAATAAAATATATTTTAGCTAGTTGCCAAAGCAGTATTTCTCATTTTCATTACAGTGTAACTTGATGTACTAAAATTAACTAACTGAAATAAAATTTATATAAAATACATAAGACAAAAACACACAAAATTATTAAAACTAAAGTTAAAATGAAGACAAAATATAAAAAAAACAATAAAAAAATTATATTTCTATTTATTTTTGTTAAACTAAATCCATAAAAAACAACATTTTCATTACTTAAAAAAAAAACAAAAAAAAACTTATTTTAGCTTGTTGCCAACGAAACATTTTTCATTTTGATTGGATGTACTAAAATAACAAATTAAACATTTAAAAAAAATAATAAAACATGCTATACAGATAATGTAGAGTCGTGCATTAATGCGGTCACGTAATAAATCTGCTTCCAAGATAAAATGACATGAATTGCCAATTGCTACATTGAAATAAAAATGTAAAATATTACAAATCGTGAATATAAATAATTGGGAATCATGTAAAAAATTAAAATAAAATAAAAACAGTGCACATTTCTTTTATCTATTATAACATTTATGTAGTTTTGTTCGCTTGGCTGTTTTTCTTATAAAAGTCAAAAAATTTGTCAAGTTTTTCATCAGGTGTCTTTTTTAATTGTCATGATGTCATTACGTTGCTGTCTTGCCGCCAGCCAATCGCTGCATTGCCGATCGTGGTTTCAAATATCGATTCATAGCCCCTTTTAAACCAACCCATGAATGCACAGTTATCTCAGATAACTCAATCCAGCCATACTAATCATCAACAACAGCTGCGTTCAAAGAACCGAATTAGCCAGATCCTGATTAGCGCGATGATTTCATCTCGGATGTGATAAGCGACGTACGAAGAACAGGCCCCTGACTAGTGATGGAGTAAACAGCTAGTTAGTGCGAACAGCTTCAGCCGCTGTGCTTTGACGTGTGTTTGCACTCACATTAACCACTTGAGTCCTGCGCTCAGAAAAGTCTTTAATACTATAGACACAGACAGTTTTACTCACTGAAGGATTTATTCGTCATAAAATTATTACTTCATAATTGTATTCGAGTCTTACACGCATGCTATACAGATAATGTAGAGTCGTGCATTAATGCGGTCACGTAATAAATCTGCTTCCAAGATAAAATGACATGAATTGCCAATTGCTACATTGAAATAAAAATGTAAAATATTACAAATCGTGAATATAAATAATTGGGAATCATGTAAAAAATAAAACATTTGATTTATCTATTATAACATTTATGTAGTTTTGTTAGCTTGGCTGTTTCCTTATAAAGGTCCAGAAATTCGTCAAGTTTTTCGTCAGGTGTCTTTTTTAATTATATGATGTCATTACGTTGCTGTCTTGCCGCCAGCCAATCGCTGCATTGCTGAACATGGTTTCGAGTATAGAACCGAATTAGCCAGATCCTGATTAGCGCGATGATTTCATCTCGGATGTGATAAGCGACGTACGAAGAACAGGCCCCTGACTAGTGATGGAGTAAACAGCTAGTTAGTGCGAACAGCTTCAGCCGCTGTGCTTTGACGTGTGTTTGCACTCACATTAACCACTTGAGTCCTGAGCTCAGAAATCTCATTCTCCAGCCGGCGGTTGGTGGCCAGTAAATTGGCATAATCTGCTTCCTTCGAGTTCAGAACGGCTTCGAGATTCCTCCAGTGTCCCACAGCCGTGGTCAGCTCACTCTCCTTCTTATTATTCCTGAGACGTGAGGAACAAACACTGCATTCGTCATGATGCGCTGACACTGAGACTGTGTTAATTTCATTGACTAATCATTTTCGTCAACTACATTTTTTTCCCACAGACGACAACGAGACGATAACGAACTAAAACTCTTTTTGAATGACAAAAACTATGACGAAAGTCTATTGACATTTTCGTCAACGAATAAAAACGAGATGAAAATATTAGGGAGGGACGATTTGGGAAGAGATTCATTCAGAACGAATCTGCTGCGTGGTTCGGAGGTTAGATGCATACATATGAACCGGCGGGACCTAAGCTAACATACACTTGGTTGCTGCACGTCGCATAAAATGTTAAAAAATTTCAATATGTGGGAGTAAGAGAAGAGCAGACATATGGATAAATCTGACGACGCAAGAGAACTCAATTCGGTCCGGTTTTCTGAGCGCAGACACTGAAGCACACACACAGAAAGCGCCTCTCACAGCACGCGAGTACTCTTTCATGTCACATGAACGGAGAATTAGTGCTGCGGTATGACCAAAAATTTATATCACGGTATTTTTCAAAATTATACCGGTTTCACGGTACATGACGGTATTTAAGCGACATACACCGGTATCGCGGTATTTAAAAAATTCATATCATAACAAAAAATAAACACCGGTATTCAGTATGAACCGGTATACCGCCCAGCACTACGGAGAATTACTCACAAAATGATGTTGAATTGTCTGTTTTGACGAGTATTCACGTAAACACAGTTGATTACGTCTTAAGTGAACGTAAACAGCAGGGAGAACGTGTATCAGTACATTGCATCCATTGCAGCTGTGCATTCGGTTTTAAAGGGACAGCAGCCTAATTTAGTTGCTATTGAGTCATTGATGTTAATCAAGCAACAACAGAAAGACAGAAAATCACTCACTGCTCGACTGAAAAACTTTAGTAGCCCTACAGATTAATCTAAATTTATTTATAGAAATAAATGTCTTCTTGAAAGAATGAAGAATATGGTAAAGCACTTTTAGCTTAGCTTAGCATAGATCATTGAATCGGATTAGACCGTTAGCATTACGCAACGCCTGAAATAGTCCCCAGCACGCTCCCTGTGCAAGCAGGTGGACACGTTGGTTATGTTGACGCAAGTTAGACTATTTTCAGGCACTGTGTAATATCATTGCGCCTGCTGCACCCATGATTACACCGGAATGAGAGTATAGTTCCTAGCCGTATCAGCCTAGAAAAATCACAACTCTTAATTTTCCGTCGGTCTTGGTACACGACGTAACTACAGAAGAGTCAGGTTTTAATTAGGTCATTTTTGAGCGAGATGCTAACGGTCTAATCAGATTCAATGATCTATGCTAAGCTAAGCTAAAAGTGCTACCGCCAGACCCGGAGATCGGCTGAATGGATTTGAAAACGGTAAAACTCAACTGTTTAACTCTAGCGGAGTTAATGAGCCTATTTTCAAAAATAGTGGAGTGTTCCTTTAAAAAAAAAAAAAATGTACATCATAACATGAGTTATCACGTTTTGTATACATCAATTGAAAGCGTAAAATCTCAAAAATCATCCCGTGAAAGCCATTTTAAAATCAGACATCGCATTACCATGGAAATGTTACATCAAAATCATATTACAAAATGTTTTCGTTCATGAATTACAACAATTTTAAGTTTGGATAGTGCACAATATTCACGTCTATGTTCAAAGATAGCATGCCTGCAAAAACTAGTTTAAACCATCTGCTAATTAGGTGAAAGTAATACAATTAATAATAATAAAATAGCGAGTTTATACTGGTTATGGTAGCCTGAGGCCTCTCAGATGACCAGAGCACCACAGCCGTTCAGTAAGAGCACGCTTCTGGATCACCTGCTGTGTGTTTATAGATGTATGATAGTGATATGTATGATAGTTGAACTCTTGACCTGGCCGTGAGTCTGCGGTGCTCCTCCTGCAGCTGCGTCAGCTCGATCTGAAGCCTTGCGCGCTCGTTCGCGGTGGCGTCCAGAGACTTGCGCGCGTCCGCGAGCTCGGTCTCGTACAGGCGGCGCACGCTCCCGACCTCCCTGCGCGCGTGCTCCTCCTTCTCCTCCAGCAGCAGCTGCAGGGACGACTTGTCGCTCTCCAGCTGCCGGACGCGCTCGATGTAGTTCGCCAGGCGGTCGTTGAGCTGCCGCAGGTCCTCCTTCTCCTGCAGGCGCGTCAGACGCGTCGGGCTGACGCCGGACGGAGACGCGCCGCTCCGCCTGGAGGAGCGCACGGCGGAGGAGCGGCTCTCCATCGGGGTGGAGGTGATCATAGCCGCGGCTGACGCACTTCAGCCCGGAGCGAGCTCTGAAAAAACCGTTAGAAAAGAGCAAAAACGCGCGAATTCACAGAAGTGAACTAAAACAGCGCTTCAGTCGCGTCAATATGAGCGCACGACAGCGCATATGTTTAATACACGCGCTACCGGACCGTTAGAAGCCCCAAAACTGACGGGATTCGCGTGAGGTTTGCGGTTACCGGCAGACTTAACTCAACTGCGCTTCATTGCTGTCAGCTGCGCCGTGACGTCACATCACGAGACCGATCGCGAGCTCGCTCAGAGCGGCGCATTTAAAGGGAAAGACGAAATAAATAAGATTATTCACTAAAACTCTACCCAGTCACTCAACTATCCCGGGTGTCATCATAATGAACTTAATTATAATATTGTATATATCATTTTAATTATTTTTATTCTATTTAATATAGAGAGAGTTACATAGGCTCCTATATAAAGTCCATTCTCGTAAAGTATTCTTCTAATTCATCTTAAATTGAATTACATGAACATATACTAAAATGTACTTTTAAGATTTCAAGTACACAATCATTACACCCAAGTGCACTTTTCTCCACAAGGGCTGCAGGATTTAATTTAGTCAACTATCTTTACATTTAATGAGAGTGGTTACATTATTTACTTTAAAGTGCATGTTTTTTTTTTTATATATAACACACACACACAGACTCACACACACTCACACACACACACACTCACACACACTCACACACACTCACACACACACACACTCACACAGACTCACACACACTCACACACACACACACTCACACAGACTCACACACACTCACACACACTCACACACAGACTCACACAGACACCCACACACAG